CACCCAACACAAAATCCCACACACCAGCCAACACCCCACACACAATCCCACACACCAGCCAACACCCAACACAAAATCCCACACACCAGCCAACACCCAACACAAAATCCCACACACCAGCCAACACCCCACACAAAATCCCACACACCAGCCAACACCCCACACAAAATCCCACACACCAGCCAACACCCCACACAAAATCCCACACACCAGCCAACACCCCACAACCAATCCCACACACCAGCCAACACCCCACACAAAATCCCACACACCAGCCAACACCCAACACAAAATCCCACACACCAGCCAACACCCCAACCAAAATCCCACACACCAGCCAACACACAACACAAAATCCCACACACCAGCCAACACCCCACACAAAATCCCACACACAAGCCAACACACAACACAAAATCCCACACACCAGCCAACACCCCACACAAAATCCCACACACCAGCCAACACACAACACAAAATCCCACACACCAGCCAACACCCCACACAAAATCCCACACACCAGCCAACACCCCACACAAAATCCCACACACCAGCCAACACCCAACACAAAATCCCACACACCAGCCAACACACAACACAAAATCCCACACACCAGCCAACACCCCACACAAAATCCCACACACCAGCCAACACACAACACAAAATCCCACACACCAGCCAACACCCCACACAAAATCCCACACACCAGCCAACACCCCACACAAAATCCCACACACCAGCCAACACCCCACACAAAATCCCACACACCAGCCAACACACAACACAAAATCCCACACACCAGCCAACACCCCACACAAAATCACACACACCAGCCAACACCCCACACAAAATCCCACACACCAGCCAACACCCCACACAAAATCCCACACACCAGCCAACACCCCACACAAATCCCACACACCAGCCAACACCCCACACACAATCCCACACACCAGCCAACACACAACACAAAATCCCACACACCAGCCAACACACAACACAAAATCCCACACACCAGCCAACACCCCACACAAAATCCCACACACCAGCCAACACCCCACACAAAATCCCACACACCAGCCAACACACAACACAAAATCCCACACACCAGCCAACACCCAACACAAAATCCCACACACCAGCCAACACACAACACAAAATCCCACACACCAGCCAACACACAACACAAAATCCCACACACCAGCCAACACCCCACACAAAATCCCACACACCAGACAACACACAACACAAAATCCCACACACCAGCCAACACCCCACACAAAATCCCACACACCAGACAACACCCCACACAAAATCCCACACACCAGCCAACACACAACACAAAATCCCACACACCAGCCAACACCCCACACGAAATCCCACACACCAGCCAACACCCCACACAAAATCCCACACACCAGCCAACACCCCACACAAAATCCCACACACCAGCCAACACCCCACACAAAATCCCACACACCAGCCAACACCGCACACAAAATCCCACACACCAGCCAACACACAACACAAAATCCCACACACCAGCCAACACCCCACACAAAATCCCACACACCAGCCAACACCCCACACACAATCCCACGCACCAGCCAACACCCCACACAAAATCCCACACACCAGCCAACACCCAACACAAAATCCCACACACCAGCCAACACCCCACACAAAATACCACACACCAGCCAACACACAACACAAAATCCCACACACCAGCCAACACCCCACACAAAATCCCACACACCAGCCAACACCCCACACAAAATCCCACACACCAGCCAACACCCAACACAAAATCCCACACACCAGCCAACACCCCACACAAAATCCCACACACCAGCCAACACACAACACAAAATCCCACACACCAGCCAACACCCCACACAAAATCCCACACACCAGCCAACACCCCACACAAAATCCCACACACCAGCCAACACCCCACACAAAATCCCACACACCAGCCAACACCCCACACAAAATCCCACACACCAGCCAACACCCCACACACAATCCCACACACCAGCCAACACACAACACAAAATCCCACACACCAGCCAACACCCCACACAAAATCCCACACACCAGCCAACACCCCACACAAAATCCCACACACCAGCCAACACCCCACACAAAATCCCACCCACCAGCCAACACCCAACATAAAATCCCACACACCAGCCAACACACAACACAAAATCCCTCACACCAGCCAACACCCCACACAAAATCCCACACACCCGCCAACACCCAACACAAAATCCCACACACCAGCCAACACACAACACAAAATCCCACACACCAGCCAACACCCCACACAAAATCCCACACACCAGCCAACACCCAACACAAAATCCCACACACCAGCCAACACCCCACACACAATCCCACACACCAGCCAACACCCCACACAAAATCCCACACACCAGCCAACACCCAACACAAAATCCCACAAACCAGCCAACACCCCACACAAAATCCCACACACCAGCCAACACACAACACAAAATCCCACACACCAGCCAACACCCCACACAAAATCCCACACACCAGCCAACACCCCACACACAATCCCACACACCAGCCAACACCCCACACAAAATCCCACACACCAGCCAACACCCAACACAAAATCCCACACACCAGCCAACACACAACACAAAATCAATCCCACACACCAGCCAACACCCCACACAAAATCCCACACACCAGCCAACACACAACACAAAATCCCACACACCAGCCAACACCCCACACAAAATCCCACACACCAGCCAACACACAACACAAAATCCCACACACCAGCCAACACCCCACACAAAATCCCACACACCAGCCAACACCCCACACAAAATCCCACACACCAGCCAACACCCAACACAAAATCCCACACACCAGCCAACACACAACACAAAATCCCACACACCAGCCAACACCCCACACAAAATCCCACACACCAGCCAACACACAACACAAAATCCCACACACCAGCCAACACCCCACACAAAATCCCACACACCAGCCAACACCCCACACAAAATCACACACACCAGCCAACACCCCACACAAAATCCCACACACCAGCCAACACCCCACACAAAATCCCACACACCAGCCAACACCCCACACAAAATCCCACACACCAGCCAACACCCCACACACAATCCCACACACCAGCCAACACACAACACAAAATCCCACACACCAGCCAACACACAACACAAAATCCCACACACCAGCCAACACCCCACACAAAATCCCACACACCAGCCAACACCCCACACAAAATCCCACACACCAGCCAACACACAACACAAAATCCCACACACCAGCCAACACCCAACACAAAATCCCACACACCAGCCAACACACAACACAAAATCCCACACACCAGCCAACACACAACACAAAATCCCACACACCAGCCAACACCCCACACAAAATCCCACACACCAGACAACACACAACACAAAATCCCACACACCAGCCAACACCCCACACAAAATCCCACACACCAGACAACACCCCACACAAAATCCCACACACCAGCCAACACACAACACAAAATCCCACACACCAGCCAACACCCCACACAAAATCCCACACACCAGCCAACACCCCACACAAAATCCCACACACCAGCCAACACCCCACACAAAATCCCACACACCAGCCAACACCCCACACAAAATCCCACACACCAGCCAACACCCCACACAAAATCCCACACACCAGCCAACACCCCACACAAAATCCCACACACCAGCCAACACACAACACAAAATCCCACACACCAGCCAACACCCCACACAAAATCCCACACACCAGCCAACACCCCACACACAATCCCACGCACCAGCCAACACCCCACACAAAATCCCACACACCAGCCAACACCCAACACAAAATCCCACACACCAGCCAACACACAACACAAAATCCCACACGCAAATCCTACTACCTTTCATAGCCCGAACTAGAGCTCACGTTGTTTTACACACGATCCACACCGAATTAGTCATCCGACATCATAATACCCCAAGCAACAAAGCAAATTTCATTTTTCGACTTCACGTTTTAATTAACAGTACAAATAACTTTAATACCTTAAATGTGTTAGGCTACATCAAATTAATTATTCTAGGTTATGAAAAAATTATTCAAATTGTTTCCCTCGATCAGGATAGACTGTTTTCGAAAAAATTAAAATTGTATTAGAAAAAAAAAAGTATAATAACTGATTTTTAATTTTTGTAAAAATGATTGAATACAATTATATAATGTACGACATAGTTTAGATAAACTGCGATAGGTAAAACAGCTGTATTTAAAATAATTCCTTTTTACGTTGGAGTATAGATGGAGTATCGCAATCACTCAAACATTCGAAATCAAGATTTTTACAAAACTCGACTTTTACACATTTTCACTCTTAAAATTGTGGTGGCCGTCTGTAACCTCGATACCTAAAGTGCTGTTTCGGTTAAGTTGAAGTAATCTCTTAGATAAGTATTTTAACAAATGAGTAGATTTTTATCAACATGTGAGCGAAGTCCGCTTGCAGAAAGTAATATTTTACTTCAGTTTATAAAAAACCTTTATGGATTCTGTATTGCACCGCTATAAACGCTCTGCGCAAATGCAAAATGTAAGTTCAAAGTTATAAATCTGCTTCACCTCCACGGCCTTTCACGCTGTTCTTATATAAGTCGATTATTTGTGTACATTACCATCCGACATATTTCATAATATCTTTTAAAAACGTTGATGTTTTCCAACCGTTTAAATGACAATAACAGTAGGACTATACACTTTTTTATTTTGTTAGGGTTATCATTATCTGGTCAGTTTATTGTTAAAACGGATCAGTCATAAACAAAGTGTTCGGGGTAAAGCATGTTTTTCTACACTTTCTTCATATTTAAGATTGGTTATTTTAAACTGGTTGCCCCATTTGTTTGGCAGAAATATAATTTTATTTTTAGGGAGCGTTGCTTTAAACAAGCAGTTTCGAGCAGAAAGAGAAGACAGTGTTGTGAAGTTATTTGACGGGGAACAACTCATATGTTGGTGGCATTTAGTGGGTAAATAGCAATCATTCGGCTATTAGAAACACAAGTCTTTAGGAAAATTAAATTTACTATTCATTTTTTTAAAATCAGATTTGGTGGCCCATAAAAATCACGGGCCCCTAGAACAGCCCTCTCAGCTCTTACCCTAATCCACCATTTAGCATGTAGTATTAGAGTAAATTCTTGAGGCAAAATGTGATGTAGGCCTATATGAGTGCTTAATTAGGTTTTAGTTTTAATATCGGACCATATTTAGACTTGTATTTCTGGTAAGATGCCGTTTGGAAATGCTGTCTTTTATGAAACTAAAACTTTAATTGAGTTTGCGTAACAATAGGAATGCATCGAGTTTTGTAACTCTTTAACTAAGCTAGCAACACGGAAAATGTGCATTCTCTATATGATCTTCACAAACTACCCAACTACCCACCCATGATATATATATATATATATATATATATATATATATATATATATATATATATATATATATATATATGGCCTATATATATATATATATATATAATATAGATGATATATATATATATAGATGATATATATATATATATATAGATGATATATATATATATATAGAGAGAGAGATGATATATATATATATATATATATATATATATATATATATATATATATATATATATATATATATATATATATATATAGATCACGGGTTCCCAATGGGGGTCGCGAAGGGCTTTCTGGGGGTCGCCAACTTTTAGACTAAACCTTAGTAATGAAAAAAAAACATAAATATTTAGAAGAATATCTGAAATTCGGCCTTATTAACATCACCGGAAATGGAACAGGAAAGAAACAATGCGTACTGTGCAAAGTTTTTTCATCAACGAGTCTATGAAACCTTCAAAACTAAAACGTAATTTTGAGACGAGTCATTCGGAACCCATCAAAAAGATATGAAGTTATTTCGTCTGCATGAAGCTAGTTGCAAACGTCAGATACTTGATCGAACAGGAAGTTTTCACACATCATTTGTGCAAGCATCACATGAAGTCGCATTAGAAATTGCCAAGCAAAAAACCTCTCACACATTAGTAGAAAATATCATCAAACCCTCAATGTTGAAGATGGTGTAATAAATTTTGGGGGATATTTGTGCTGTAATGATGCACAAATTATTTCTGTCTAATAATTCTATTCATCTGCTTATAGCAGCCAGGTCCGTAGATGTTAACGGATATATTTTAAATGAAATTAAGCTTTCACCATTGTTTAATTTTCGAGTTGATGAATCAACAGCCGTGAATTAGTGTTCGCATTTGCTTGTCTTTGTGGAATATATACATTCAGATGATAGCAAAGAAAAGTTGCTATTATGTGAAGATATCATGGAGAAAATAAATAAGTTTTTTTTTATTTTTAAATGATTAAAAATGGGAAAACGGCTGTGGGGTTTGTACGGATGGTGCGCCATCTATGTTTGGGTCAAGATCGGGCTTTCAGAAAACAGTAAAAGATTTAGCTCACTAGCCAATGGGAATCCACTGCATGATTCACCGGTATGCCCTCGCCAGCAAGACTCTTCCGACTCCATTGCTAATGCTAATGAAAGTCGTAAATTATATTAAATCTGGAGCCCTGAACACCCGTTTGTTTAAAGAACTGTGCAACTATGTGAATAAAGATCATGAGGTTCTGCTGGCTGTCAAAAGGAAATGTTGTGAATCGTGTTTTTGAGTTGACAAATGAAATCAAGTTGTTCTTGGAGGTGCAAGGGAAACAACACCTTTTGATATACTTGAACGACAAAGAGTGGTTGGAGAGAGAATCATACCTAGCAGATGTATTCGAACATCAACAGAGAAAATGAACGAATATTATCTCTTTTCATGACTATCAAAGCTGCAAAATTGGCGAAGAAAAATAAATCTTGGAAATATTGCCATGTTTGATGAGTATGTTTGAGAGGTAAATACAAATTTGAAAGAGGAGATTTCTGTGAATCTTGAATCTCATGGCATCAGCGTTATCCCTGAGCTGAAAGAAGAAGAATCTGTATTGACACGTTACCCATTCTCTGCTTCCCTTGATGTTGCGAGCATTCCCAATGAATTACAAGATAGATTCTTAAATGTGCGGAATGATTCCACGTCAGATGAAAAACTGCTCACACAATTTTGGTGTAGTATGCAACATTCATACCCAAGCGTGACATTGATTGCCTTTCGAGTTTTAGTTCCTTTTGTGTCTACATATCTTTGCGATAATAGAGTTTCAACACTTCTCCAATTGAAAACAAAACAAAGAAATAAATTAAATGCTAAGAATGATATGAGGTTGGCGTTAACAAAAACTCAACATGAATGTCGAGGCTAGTGAATAGCATGCAGTTACTCATCGTATTAAACCAGGGGTCTTCAAACTTCGGCCAGCGGGT